ATTTTACCAGCAATATATACATATACTCGCTATCTATGCATCATGTATCGGTAATATTAGATTAGATCATTACTATTTGGTCTGAGTCGTTTGATGTCCGCTAACGTTAACAAAGTTACTATTCCTACACATCTTACACAAGCCGTATACCCTATTTGATGTAGAAGGGCGAAACTGCAAGTAATAATATCCTTGGTAGCAACTTCAAGTTATGAAATCAGTCCTTAACTTAAGTTTTCATCTTGTGCAATACCTAAAAATTTACCAGCATGCAATGTTTGCAATAGTCTATAAATTACCGTAATTAATAACAAGTTCTCAAGTTTATTGTAACTGAACTGACTATTTACTTTGTAATAATCAAACTGTTATCCTTGCTAATAAATTAGAATAAAAAATAAATTTCGCGTTATTTAATTGTTAAAGTGTTATATACTGTATTACAGTAGAAATATCTATGTTAGGATAATTCTATTAGACTATCCTTATTTAGTTAACTTCTAATTTGGGTATACTGTGTTTAATATAGCACTGACTTTTTATGACAGTGACACTTATACTCATACTGAAATTAATAGTTATAATAGGGAATGCAAATCATCTGCTTACAGTTCGAATCATTGTGATTGTAATTTACTTATGGTAGACTGTAAATTATCATGGAAATGTTCCGTGATAGGACATATCGTAATCTGACTATTCTGTATTAGTCATTACATGTCTATGTTCGTAAATACTGTTGTCAGCATTAAGGGAGCAGTAGCTAAAATTAATATCTAATTCAGTAAATGATTCCAATGTTAATTGTATTAACTATGACTCATGAACTATTGAGGAGTAGTATATAAATGCAGTATATCGTGAAATAAAGAGAATTTCTCCAACTTAGTGTTTAACGTAAAATACGAGGCGTTTAAGTCTTTGTGTAGTCTGCTAGTAGAGCAAAAGTGTTTGTGATAGTGCAGATATCGTTCCTTGATACGTGGTTCAAGGAATTGACTTATTGATCGTATACTGCGTTATCTTGTTGCAAAGCTGTTTTGTGACATTAATATATTTATCGTAATCAAGGCATTTATTAAATGGAAAGTACATACCGCAGTTAGATAAGTGCTTATTATTTATTGTAAATGATCTAAAAATACTCTATCCTGTAAATATTATGATAACAGAATAATATCAGAACTCGATATTAAATCCTTACATATTTAGTCATTATGACCATGTGCAAAGTTCATGCAAATTAACGTGCATCATAAATGTTGATGTCGTTTGAGGGACCTAAACAAAGAAAACTTTGAAGCACAAATCAATAATCGCGTATCGATAGACAGTAGCAAAGTCATGCAATTTATTTATGTTAGTAAAGGTTATGTAAGAGTTGGGGAAATAAGTTATCGATATAGAATTTATCAATAGCGAAGGCATAAATTAATAAGAACGAACACAGGGGCAATTGTTTGAAGCAATTAAATAAACTTAATGCCTGAGAAATTTCAACACAATACTCTATATAATACAGGCTACTGATAGTTTAACGAAAAGCATAATGTGCTTCAAAAAATAATATGATAAACCTTGATCTACCAATAATGTTTGCTTTTAGATTCTATATTTATTGTTATATTGTAGAAGAAATAATTTTAGCTTCAATAAAATATATGTGCCACAACTACCCTTGCGACACAAGAAAAAAACACAGCGTTTATAATAAACTTTACTTTAATCCGCACAACTACTTCCCTAATCTACGGTATAGTAATCGGAATCCTTAAGAAGAACTAGCTCGCTCAACACAATATGCGGTATAAAACTATCACCCAACTTAGCCTTAACCTGAGTCACTTTCTATTGTTCACAGTCCTTCTTATTTACTCTTCAGCAGTA